AAAAAAAAAAAAAGATGTATAGTCAGAAACTCAATAGAGAGTTATCCTTAGTCAGAATCAATTCAATGGTAGTAGTTCAGGTTTGATATATATGTTGACATGTATGTTGTTGTTGTTGTTGATATATTCCTCATATATAAAAATGAAAACTGTAACTGTTGTTGTTGTTGTGTTCCATCAAGTAGGAACTGATGCCTAGCTGACCTTTTGGTGTGTTTTCAAAGGCAGTTAACCACATGGAAGGAGATTTTCTATGTTTTTTTTCGTGGAGCAACTGGTGGACATGAACCCTGTGCTTTTGGAAGAATATACAGCTTCTTATAACTAGGCCACCAGCGCTTCCTAAACCTGTCATTATCAAACCTAATTCGACTCAGAGTGGCCTTATGGGACAGAATAGAACTTCATCACGGGTGTTTCAAGATTTTAATCTTCATAGAGCAAACTGATAAGTTTCTTATGTGTCTGATGGATTTGAACTAGTGGCATTTCTGTTATTAGCTAAGCACTTAACTACTGTGCTACCAGAACTCACATTTCTACATCTTATATAGTTGTTGTTAAGTGCCGTTGAGTCATAGGCGATTCATAGTGACCCTATGAATGAAAGACCTGGACACTTGTATAACTTTCATCCTTTCTCCAAGTTCATAGAGTTTCTGGAGGCACGCTATTTCAGAAGTGGATGCCACTACTGCTTCCAAGCTTGTTTTACTCAGGGAGCTATATATATATATATATACACACACATATATCTATATATATCTATATCTGTAGAGAGAGCAAGCAAGGGAGATATCTTGTTCTAGAAGGGGAAAGAGAAGAGGCTCTGGACTTCTACTGAAAATTCTCAGAATGTATACTTAGACTCAGCCCCCCCAAAGATCTTTTTATGTGTCACATTTTAAACATAGGACTATCTTCCCCTCCTTTGCTAGAACCAACTCCCATGTGACCCCTTATCACTGTTAGTACGACCACTCAGGTTAAGAGGTTGAGAGCTGCTTCACTGGGCAAAAGCCCTAGCAATATCTAAGGTTGAACCAGTGCTGGACCACCAGGCAGCACTGGCATAGTTCTGGGCCCTCACCTTCCTAACTGTTAAGACTTTGTGCAAATTCATGTATGTCCCTAGACCCTTGGTTTCTCACTTGTAAAACAGAAGTGGTGCTCCCTCTCCTCATACCCATCCCCAGGGGAGCTGCTGGGAGTTTGTGAAAACCTTTGTGAACTATAATGTGCTGACTGTGGTTATTACATAAACTCCCATGTCCTTGCACCCAGGGTCCTGGACAACATCTGAATTCCGAATACTTAGCTCAGATCCAACCCTCCAAATGACCTCAGAAGACTTGAATTTTCTTCCCCTCCCCTTGACCTTCCCCCCACTTCCCCTTTTCCTTCTTTTTTCTCCTCCTACTTTCTTTCTTTCTTTCCTTCCTCCTTCTCTTAATATTATTTGTTTGTTTTTATAACATTTTATATTTATTACATGGCATTTATAAATAATATGTTATTATAGAAAGTAAAGTAACTGAGTCGTCTTCGGTACCTGTTTGATAATCACCCTAAGAGTATAACTTTGAAAGCGGGCTTAAGACAGACCAGCCTCTTACTTGTACGGCACATCGCACCAGCCTTTGGTGTAGACAGAATGGGACTGCAGGTCCCGAAGCTTCCGGCTGCAAGTGTTTTGCTCTTGGCACTCCATCCCTGTGAGTTGGTCCGTGATGACATAGGCCACAGGCTGAGCCAACGGGGCCCTGCAGGTGAGCATTCTTGCCCCCCAATCCTTTCGAGAGACAATGGCAGGAGCATCTGTGGGGGGACACAGCATGGTATGCAGCAGGCCCTGCCCATGTCAGACTGCCCTGAAGCCTTCCCTTCCCACACATTGTCTTGTTATGATGAAGAGACCCCAAGGAGGCCTTCACCACCACCTTCCCCCTGTCTCAACTCTTTATATTCATTTGGCCTAAAATCTCATCTGGCACTGCATTCAACCTGGAGAGTCAAGTTGCCTTGTTCTTCAAACTATTTCTCTACAGTTCTCTAGAAGACAAGTCCTCCCCACCTGCCTCTCTGCTCTGCATCCTGTCCTCATATCTTCCTGCTTCAGCTGGTGCTTACAACAACAGACCTGGGTGTTCTGAACTGCCTTTCTTACAGCATCTTACCCTGCATACTTCACCCTCACTGGCATTTGTTCCTGGGCTTCTGACTGTGTCCTTTGTCCAGCTCTTCCCCTAGAATGCTGACTCACTGAAGAAAGAACTCTCTGGATCTCCTTACACTGGGGAGTTCCAAGGTCCAGAGCCCACAAGAAGTTCTATCAACATACCTAAGGTACTATTTTCTCTCATCCGGCTAGAACTTTTTATGATCAGAACTATAAACCCCACACAGCATTACAGACTCTTAGGACTATGTGTGGAGGAGGGTGGCAGGGTAGCAAAGAGTGTCTCTACCGTCGCACTATGAACTGAGGGATAAAACTCACTAAACTCAATACCATCAAGTTGGGATCACTAGCAGATTCTCAAAGCTGTAAATCCTATGGAGGAGACTTCCCATCTTTCCTCAAAGGAATTTCTGGTGCATTTGAACTTTCAGAGAGGTTTGACCTCTGGATTAGCACACAACTCCCTACAAACCACATCATCAGAGCTCCCTGGACTCAGGGGTAAAGAAGAATTGTTTGAGTTGGTGTGGGGTATTTTGCCCCTCCTTTCTTTCTTGGTGCCACTTTTATAAAAAAATCTCAGAGCAATCCACAGGAATAGTTGGTTTTTTATCTCTATTACACACTACAAATCCATAATGATGTCCCATGAAACACTTTTGGTCATCCGTGGGACTCTAGCCACCCCCTAAATCTCCTTACCATTGTGATCTTTTCGAATGAGCTGTGAGATTGTGGAAAACTCTGCTGACAAATCTCTGGCTTGTGTTTCATTCCAGGATGACTGTGGGAAATCCCCTGCAAAAAAACATTTCATTTAATGCCGCAACATCAGAACTGCCAGCTAGCTGGACCCTCCACCACAGGTCCCATAGAACCTCTGCCTCCCCAAGCCTTCTAACGTCCTCTGGGAAGCAACACTCAATAGACCAGGACAGAACCACAGATGTCCCTGGCCTCAGCCTGCCTCTTCATTCCACTTTTGTCACAAAGAGGCCTTCATCTTGCCCATCACCACCCTCCCCCCCAATCCAATCTTCTTCATTCCAAGTGCACAACCATCTCCCCTGCCCTTTATTTGAGGAGACATATGATTTCTGTTTCATCTCCCTCCTTAAAATCATAAGCTGTCCATGGATACCCATTGTACTGCCCTCTAACAAAGGTATTACCATCTTTTTGAGTGACCACTTATAGTTTATTATTATTATTATTATAATTGAGTATATTTAGAATTCCTTATGATTTAGTATTATACCTGTAGATATCAAGCAAGCCTTTTAAATACAGAAGTATGTCAGTCATTATGTTTTCCCCTCAAAACCCACATTAGATACTTCAGATAGGATTGATTAAGGATTTTTTCCTCACCTGCATGTCCTCATCCTCCACTGCTTCCCATATCAGAAGTCATAGGCACAAAATGCATCAACATCAATATTATTTCCAGCAATAATTTCTAGGCACCAGTTCTGCAGTGTGTGAAACATTTCCAAAGACACTACCAAGCTTTTTGCTTAGAGCAATCATTTTGTTGTTGCCATTATGTGCTGTCAAGTCATAGTGACCCTATATACAACAGTCCTAAACCCTGCTCTATACTGTGTCAACTTTATTGTCACTGACACACCTACTTCCATTGCCCCAATCACTGAGTCAATACATCTCATTGAGGGTCTCCCTCTTTTGTGCTGTCCCTCCACCCTCCCAAGCATGACATCCCTCTCCAAAATTTCGCCTTGCAACATGTTCAAAGTACGTTAGATGAAGCTTCACAATCCTTTCCTGCAAGGAGTATCCTGGTCTGACCCTCTCTAGGATGAACCTGTCTATTCCTAGCAGTCCATGATAAATTCAGTACTCTTCTCCAGCACCACAGTTCAAAGGCATCGATTTTTCTTCTATCATCCCTAGGCATTATCCAGCTCCCTGACACATCGTAAGTAATTGGATCAGGTGCATCTTAGTTTCCAGACTGATGTCATTGCTCTTCAGTACTTTGGAGAGGTCTCTGACAGCAGACTTTCCCAATGCAATTTGTCTTTTAATTTCCTGGCTGCTAGTACCAAGGGTGTTGGTTATGGATCTAAGCAAACTAAAGCTGTTAATAATATCAATCTCTTTACCATGTAGCATGATATAAGCAAAAGCAAAGTACGTCTCTACATTGCTCAACCATGTCAGCAAATAACATGATCAAGAAACACTAGTACCTATGGAAGAAGCTGCAGTGAAGGCATTGGTGAAAAACTAACAAACAAGTTTTCAGGAATTGGTAGGATACCAACTGAAATTTTTCAACAACTGAATGCAGAGTTAGATGTGCTTACAGTTATGTGCTGAGAAATTTGGAAGACAACCACTTATTCAACAGACTAAAGAGATCTATTTGTGCCCACTCCAAAGAAAAGTGATCCAACAGAAATTAGAAGTTATGAGAAAAGTTATAAACATTCTGTGCAAGTTAAATTTTTCTAAAGATAATTTAAAAAATTATTTCAGTAATATATCAGTAGAGAACAATTAGACATTTAAGTCAGATAAAGATGAGTTTGTAGCAATCTCATTGATGGTATCAGATGGACCTTGACTGAAAGTGATGACTATCAGAGGGATGTTCACCTCTGTTTCACTGACAATGCAAAGGTGTTTGCATATGTGGATAATAATAAATTATGGATAACAATACAAAGAATGGGAATTTCAGAACACAAGTTTATGGGGAACTTGTACAGAGACCAAGAGGCAAAACTGAAATAGAAGAAGGGGATATTGTGTGGTTTAAAATCAGGAAAGCTGTGCTTCAGGGATATACCCTTTGCCCACACTTAATCAGTTTGTAAGCTAAACAAGTAACCCAAGAAGCTGGACAATATGAAAAAGAATCCAGACAAGCAAGATTCACACCTCACACAAAAACCAACTCAACTTGGATCAAGGACTTAGGAGTAAAGCCAGGGACTTCATCAGAGAAAAGTCTGGAAGAACTCAAGAAGCCTTAATCCACAGTATGAACAGTCTTCCAAGCATCTTGAAAAACCTACAACCAGGAGAGAATAAAATAGTTGAATGAGATCTTCTAAGAATCAAATCCCTATGCACATTTAAAAAACTTCTCTGACAGGGTAAAAAGGAAGGCCACAGACTAGGAAAAGATATTTGGTAATGACTTGTCAGATAACAGACTTATATCTAAATTTTATAGAATATTCCAGCATCTCAACAAAATAAAGGTAAATAATGCAATTGCAAAATGAGAACAGGATATTAATAGACACTTTACGAAAGAAGACATACAAGTGGAAAACAAACACATGAAGAAGTGTTCAAAATCCCTAGCTCTAAGAGAGATGCAAATCAAAACAACTATGAGATACCATCTTATCTCAGTAAAAACAGCAAAGCTCAACAGAGCAGCAAACAATAAACGCTGGTGAGGCTGTGGAGAAACTGGAACCCTTATTCACTGTTGGTGCACAACTGTGGAAGGCAGTATGGTGTTTTCTCAAAAAGTTGAAAATAGAAGTATAATTTGACCCAGCAATTACACTACTGGCAATATACCCTAAAGAAAGCTGAAAGTTTATTGCTGCATTGTTCACAATAGCAAAGAGATAGAAGCAACCCAAGTGCCTATCAACAAATGAATAGATACAGAAGCTGTGGTATATTCACACAATGGAATACTATGCAGCACCAAAAGAAAGGAACTCATAAAATATTATACCAAATGGATGATCCTGGAGGACATTAGGCTGAGTGAAATATCTCGGCCACCAAAGGACAAATACTGTATAATGTCACTATTATAAAACAGGACTGACATTGGGAGTTGGGGAAAACTAAGAAAAGAGAGATTAAATAATGAGCACTGCATTGGAACAAATGAAAGAAAGAATTGTTTAAAAGGAGTGTATGACTAGGTATCACTTGCATGAAACAGTCTGGAATAAGAGGTGCATAGCAAAGTGGACTGGGAAGTGGGGTAGGGAGGAAATTGTGCAACAATGAATGGATTTTTCAAAGAGAAAAGCAAACTGGGCAAGTGTAGGAAAGAAAATGTACAACAAAGAATGAATGGAAATTTACGTTTTCTATAAACTTTTGTTAAAATCACAGTAAAATATAATTTTAAAAAATTATAGTATTCAGATGACATAACTTGCCTGCTGAAAACGAAGAGGACGTGAAGCCCTAACTGATGAATATCAAAGCCTTCAGTATGAATTACACCTCAACAGAAAGAAAACATTCTCACAACTGAACTGATAAGCAACACCATGAAAAATGGAGAAGACTAAAGTTGCCCAAGATTTTATTTTACTTAAATCAAGTCAATTCCATTCCTAAGTCCATAGGAAGAGAAGTCTAGAGATGGAATTATATATTTCACTATCTGTTTAAAAAGACCTCTCTAAAATGTTAAAGACAAAGATACTGCTTTGAGAACTAAGGTACACCTGAAGCCATGGTATTTTTAATTGCTTCATATGTGGAAACTACAGAACAATATCATTGATTTCACATGCAAGCAAGATTCTACTGAAGATTATCCAAAAACAACTAGAACAGTACATCAGCAGAGAACT